AGAAGTACAACTTCACTATTAAAGAAATTCTTTAACTTAACTATCATTCATGTAAAATGATGTCCATTTAACAAAATTTCTTTACATAACTTGTCTCAAAATATACCTAAATTTGTATTTAATGCCAGTTGGTTTAAAAAAAATCATATACTCGTTTGTATATTCTGTTATTTTCTAGAGACTGGCTGCAAGATATGGAAATGGTGCCAAATATAACTAGGATTGGTTCATCAATACAATATACATAAATAGATGAATGTTCTGGTGAATGGATTACATGGGGACACACAAGGCTCAGAAAAGACCACCATGATCCATTTGATAGGACCCAAGGTTCAGAAAATACAGATTCTCCACTCTACATCACGTTACAAAAACGTGAATGGGAATATCATAGCAGAATACATTAAACTGGGTAACAGAACCTTGGATTAAGACACCACGTCTTTTATCAGAATATTATCAGAATATTACACCCAATCTGACAGACAAATGCCCAAGCCTTAACACATGCATTATGATTTCAGTGCCGTGTCAGGGTCCCAAGGTCCTGATCCAATGAGAGTGCTAGGTTTCCTGAGCACATGGAACTTCAGGTGGGGTTGCAATGCCGAGTACACAGGCATCAGGTTTGTCTGCATGACTGAGTACACAGTCTCCAGACCTGACTGTAGTGCTAGACTCTACAAGTTCATGGAAAGAACACACCTTGCTGCAGTGATAATTTCCCTGAGTGTATTCGGCTCTGGTTTTCACCACAGTTCCCAGCTATCTGAATAGAGGGATTCTGCATCTGGTTGCAGGCTTGGGCTACCCAATTTATATATATGCTTCCAGATATGACTGTTGTGCTCGGCTCCAACAAATCTAACTGGGTTATGCATTCAACACATAAATTAGAACATCAACAATTCTTGCATCAACTGATCCAAGTACATGATCTGTTATTCCCAGACTCTCCACAATAATCTGGAATGTGACATGTACACAGAAGTGTTATTTGGGAACAAACAAAATACAATAAGAACAACAAAGGCCACTATGTTCACGGTCAAGACATTTCAACTGAACATACATCAAAGGTCCCTGAAAATATTAACAAGAAAGGGAAAGGGCTGGCAAAACAGAGTTAACATCAAGCAATGCATGCCTGCACTACAACACTTAGTCATGCAGTGTTTTGTTTAAATATAGTTCTTAATTTATTTAAACACACACAAAAAAGCAGAAATTTGAGTAGGAGCAACAAAGGATAGGAGCAGCATCAGCCAACATGGCTAATCTTTAGGTCACTGATGCTGCGAAGGTAAAAGAGGCTGCTAACTTGTGCAAAGTGAGGTCCCACAAGCAGCTGAAGATTAAATGTTGCTCAGAACATACAGAAGGATTTGTCTAGGATATGGTACATTCTAAAGATCAAGATACTGATGAAAGATCATAGAACTGAAATACTAGGTGGCAACATTTGTTCTCATAGGTGATGAATATGAAGGCAAGAAGGGTATTAATTAAGCCTGACTTGGGGACTAACATAGGTAGGCGGTGCCTGCTGGTAGTCAACCCCTTAGCCTTGTGTCCAACTCCCAGTCCCTCTCTCCTCACAATGCCCAATGAGGGAAACTGACCAACTTCGTTCTGTGCCCTCTGCAATCCAGGGAGGCTTGACATGCTCTTCCACCAGCAGACACAACCACCTCCATGGCGCTGCTGAGTTTAAGAGCTGCTGATCTCTAACTGGCCAGCTGGCTTTGCTAAGTGGAACTTTAGCTCCCCCTCCTCAGGCCTTAATTCCAGTGGAAGGTCCAGCATGCACCATCCCTGGAAGAGGCAGCACAGATCTCACACCAGCTCTTCAACTGGCAGCCGAGGCTTCCCAAAACCTCAACAAGATTCTGACTACTCACGCAGTTTCTCTCCACAAAACTGCTGCCAGTCCTGGTGAGCATTTCCTGTTTTCATTTCGGAGTTGAAACAACTGCAGAGCTTTCCTATTGACCAAGGCCTCACAGTTTGGGTGGTGTCTCCAGAAGTACAACAAATTCTCAGAGCAAACATCAGTGCTTTTGCTTTAGAGATGCCTTGAACAAATAACCCTCGACTGCCAAGGCAAGTAGGCTACCATTGAGCCAAGCTGGCATATGTTAAAGTTAATAGTGTGCATACTCGATGGGCAAACATAGAAACAATTTCAGGGCAGCTGATGGCAGCAGAAAGCGCAGTACCTCAGCTATTTCCATCATTCATCCTTCCAACTCAAAAATGAAAATCTGCATTGGAACTGACAATATGATGTATTTATGATGAGTGGCCTGCTTTGAAATGTTAATATGCTTAATTTGCCTTCTCCTTCTGTACGGTAAACCAGACAATAAATAGTTTCCATGATCATGTCCAGAACTGGTTTTCTGTCCACACACTGTATGTAACTGTTCAATTGGCTTGGAAAAAGCACACTATTTCAAAACTAGGAAATGGGCACAAGTGTTGGTATGAATGAGCAGAAGAAAAGGGAAAACAGTAAGTAGGTTTGTATATACAATGCTTTCAAGCTGGATACGGTCTTCAAATAGAAAAGACAAAAGATGCATTTACATTCTGTTTCAGTGCAGTGCAGGTCCTGTGAAAGTAATGACCAAATGATCTTCCTGCTGCTAGTCTCCTGTAAACCAAGTGGATCCACAGAAGAGGTCGTTTCAATGGCAAAAATGGAAGCCCATGGAAAGAAAATAGTTTCCATTACCACTGAAAAGAAGATCTTGGCTGGTTTAGACAGTGAAATGCCATCACACAATATCATAAAATAGTATAAAAACACTTCTAGAACTGCATCAGGAATCCTGTTCATTATAGCTAATTCTCTTTTTTAAAAATCTAAGTAATAAAAGAAATTTACGCTAAGATAGTACCTTCAACGTTATGAAACGTATCAAGGCACTTGACAAAAGGCAGGAGTGAGGGACAGAAATGGACACCAGGAAGGAGTTGAGAGTCAGGGTATAGAAGGTAACCAAAGTCATAGTCATAGAGGTAGATTTTCAGGAATTTTCCAAAGGCGGAGAGAGATACAGCAAAGCAGAATGAAGGCGAGGAAAGAGTCATCCATATACAGAAGAGCAGTGTGTTGTGTCTAAGGGCGAGAGGTGAGGGTGAGGAGGGGTGCTGGGGATGTTGTGCATTATTCGAAAATTGTAAACAGGGATTTGGGATTTCAGGGAAATGAGAAACCAGTGGCTTTCACCAAGGATGGAGGCAGCCATGCTATAACAACAGGTGAGGGGTGACTGGGATTAGAGGTGGCAGTGCCATGACATAATCTGGAGAGGTGACTGGGATCTAGGATTTAATACTGAAGAGGATGCAGATGGCAGAATGTTAAATGAGCTTGAGTTTGCTTAGGGTACAGCTCAGGAGGCTGATAAGAATTTTCAAACTACTATGGAAGCATGGAGGAGACAGGAGTAAGGGTTGAGGCACAGCCGAGCAGCATAGTGGTGGTGGAACTTTTCACTTTAACATTTGATATGGCAAGTGATTCAAAGTCAGCTACAGTCAAAAGGATACTCTTGGTGCTCCTTGAAGTTGTGCATATAAACCTTTCATAGTATATAAATGCATGTCCCTCAAGAAAATCTTACAGAAAAATATCAAAATGAGAGGAAAAATGAAAAAAAAATTATTAACCTTGCAAGACACTGAAACAAAGTACAGTGATCGATCTCGCTGATATTAGATTATTATCAAGAGAAGCAGCAGGTCATAGTGGATTGGTACTGGAGTGATAGGACAAGCTGGTAAAAATACTGTAATGCTGCCCCCCCCCCCCCCCCCCCCCCCCGTATACAGTATACAAGATCATGAAAAGGCCCTGCCCATATTATAGAACACATCGAAATGAGAAGCTGCCACAATATGAAGTAAGCAGAGCAGTAAGTCTACAGTTGTTGCATCCGCCACTCTTTCCCTTGCTTACTTTGGAATTGACGTAACACTTATTCTTGAATTTTATGTAAAAACCATAAGGAATATCATTAACAGACATACTGATATTTTTAGGCTTGAAAGTTTTAGGTATCTCTGCCCTTTCTTCCCTCCCTGATATGGATAAATGTAATCTCACACACACACAGAAAATACACACAAACATAACCATTTGCTAAGTTTCTCATCAACCTGACAGCAATTTCTCCAGGCAACGAAATATTGAGGCAACCAGAAATTACAAAACTAGTGTTGCAAATTTGTTATTTTATGTCAAGTGGCAAACCAGAGGATGCAGTAGGTCCAGGGAGGAAACAGCACCATAGATGTAATTCTGAGATTTGCTTTGTTGCTGATAATAACAGATTGAAGATCTTGATCACTGACGCAATCACACCATAAGATACAAAAGTGCATTTCTGCTTTTAGCAATGGACTATGGTCCATGATCCACATTCGTATTTCAGCAAAGGTCTACATCGGAATTTCCATCTCCAAGCCTGTGGGCTCTGAATAAACAATCCGGAATTGAACCTCAGCCTCAACTGGCAGTCATACACCCACAGGCCACATCTCAAATTCACTTGGAACATTCAGTAGAAACCTTCACCCATGCCGCTGAAGTGCAATAAAGTAGGCCTGTTCAATACACTGCAGCATTGGATGGACTTATTGAGGAACAGTTAACGTGTGGGAGTGGAGGAAAGGCTGGTGAAATGCTTTTATATCAATAGTTCGAAGAATTCTCAAGTGATAATATGAAGTGCATGATACAATACATCCCTATTTGGATGTTACCAATTCAATTTTTTTTGTCATAGGAGACACCCATGCCTCTTGTTCACTGATCCACAGTGTGTTTGGTGATTGTGTTTAGAAGCCTTCAGAGGAGGCTTTCTGATGAGAATAGGAATTAAATTGCTTACCATTGTTGCTGCAAGATTACAATGTATGGGACATCAAAAAATTCTTGAACACGGCACTATTTTCTTTTTGAAATCACTTACAATAAAAATTGGGTGTGACCTAAAACTGACAAGCCTAGTTTATTTCCTTTTTGCAACAAATACTTCTGACTGCAGACTGACATTCCAAGTTTGATTTTTGACATTTATAAATTGTTATCAATCATTAAATGACTAAGAAACAAGGCAAAATGCCACTTTTTGATTCAATAAAAATATGACATTTTTACACAGTAGTTTTTTTCGCTTTTTTTTCCTTTAACAGTATAAAAATTTTAGTACTGTTCACGCAACACATGGGTTCTGTTTACAAACAGCGCATGTCCAACACAATTGGCTTACACATGCTAGTCCCACAAGGTCAAATGGGCAATCAAAAAATTCTTCTGACTGGTTGGGGTCATTTCAGCACTTTGAGGTGGGAAAGAATTTTCTTGGAGACAGGAATTTATAACCATTCCCAGATGGGAATCTCAATGGACGCGCTTCTCTCTGAGTGCTACTTGGTGGCTGCATTGTTTCTGCTGGTTTGTTGGTCTCCTGGTAACCCCCTCGCCCATTCTGGGCTTTCTTGTCTGTGTATGGGAGCTTGGAAAACTCCTTAAGTTCAAGTTTATCCTCCTTTCCTTCCTTCTTGCTGCGTCTGGCTGGTGAAAGATTCAAATAACTTAGAGCATCAGCTTTGGAACCTATAAGAGCAGGGTTGGATGGCACAGCTCGAACAGGTCTGGATGAAGGCTGTGTTGCACTAGTCCAAAAGGTTTTGAGGTTGTGGACAGCCTTGACCTTCTCGTCAATGGCAGTCATTTTCAATTTGCTCAGATCCGGGATATCAGCTGGGCTCGAGCGCGCTGAGCCTGCCGATGAGTATGAAAGGGCAGGAGATGGGTTACTCCCAGCTGGAGACTGGTGGCCTGAGCTTGGAGACCTGGAGATGTGAGCACTGTAAGGGGAGCTGGGATATTTGATCTTGATTGGTGATTGATCAGACAAAGAACCAGGGGATTGGCGCAATGAACCAGGGGACTGGCGCGAAGAGCCAGGGGACTGCCGTGAAGAGCCAGGGGACTGCCGTGAAGAGCCAGGGGACTGGCGCAAATCCCCAATGGGTGAAGGTGGTGCTGTGATTTGTCTGCTCTCGCCCCCTTTAGAATTACAGTCTCCTGCTGACTGACCTACTTCAATGATGTCACTGGTAGGTGTGTTGCTTCCTGAGTTCACCTTCTGAAGTGATGAGCTCCGTGTTGGAGGCTTTGGTTTTGTGGTTATTGGAGAAGACTGTTTTTTCTGCCCAGTACCATTCTGTGGTCTACTGAACGCACTTGTATCTGAAGATTTAAAAACTGAAGAACCGTGATGCCCTGTTACGCCATGGTCCACGTCAGCCGAACCGGTTTTGCATGCTGATCCACCACTTTGATACAGTTTCTCAACAGCAAGCAAGTGGCTTTGAGTCTCCTCCAAAATCTTTTGTGCCAGCTCCTGAGGATTAAGTTTAGTCACTTTATCCTCCTGGGATTTAACCGTGCTATCTGTTTCTGTGCTGGACTGATCGGATTCTCCCGTATCCGAACTTGGAAGTTTATTTCTGGATTCCACCTTCTGAAATGGTGAGTTTGGACTTGGAATGAGGGTTATTTTAACGGGAGAATTGGAAGCACTGGCACTGTCTTTGAATGTGTGCCTGTCCCCAAAATTATGGCAGTGTTCTACCTGCTCTGTAGTCCTCTCTTTGTTTGGTGAGGCAGATACACTGACAGTGTCAGTGTAGACACTTAAAGGCTCACTGCTAATGATGGAGAATCCATCATACTCCTCTTCATCTCGGCTTGTGTTATTTGCCTGTGGAGAAGATCTACTACGCAGCGTGGCGGCCTTGTGTGGGTAAGTGTTCTTGGGTCTCTCATAGTCCTGTCGCCCCCTTTGCAGTATTCCTTCACCAGTCACGTCGGTCTTTGAAGCAAAGCTCATGGAGGAGGCGATGGAACTGAGGCTGTAGACAGAAATGGCATCTGAAGCCATGGAATCTCCATAAGTGGGAGAAAACGGTGGGTTTAGCTGTCCTGTTGGATTGGAAACTGACTGCGAGGAGGACAGAGATTCCAGAGATGAGGAGCTGTCGAGACTGAGTCGTTTAGGCAGTTCTGTGGAATCTGGAACAGAGTGAAACATTGCGCATTATAAATTCATGGGAATACAGATTTGCAAGTATTTCCTTTCCTCCTTGTGCCTACATCAACACGCCTCTTTCAAGAACGCCAACAATGGTAGCCGTGCCTTCAATTATCTTGGCTCCATTACCTGGAATTCCCATCTCAGGATTTCACTGCCTTTCCAGCTTTCCCCTCTCCTTTCGGACTCTGTTGAAAATACAGTCATGTGGCCAGATTTTTGACTACCCTTTCAAATATCTCCTTCTTTAGCTCAGCACCCATTTTTTTCCTCCCTTACACCTCTGGTTTGGGGCTTTTTTAAAATTTTAATGACAGCACATAAACGCAACTAGTAATTACAGTGGATTTGGCAGGCAAACAACTTCATCTAGTGTAATTGTCCAGTAGTAACAGCTTGCGAGGTCAAAATGATTGTACAAACTGCTAGGTGGCCCAGAAGCTGTTGTGGGAGTTTCTCAGGTGCTCTCTAAATTGCATGCAGTGCTGTGGACTAACTATTTCCTGGCCGTCAGCCTTTCCTAGCACAGATTTTTTGGGAGCATAATATTGGAACCAAAGCGTGGTCTGGCCAGAGCATACTAATAAATTGCAACACTTTATCATAGCATACATCTCCACAGAAGCCAACATGCACATGCTGTTTATATAAAATGTGCTCCATAGTGTTTAAAATATTCTGATGCTTTTGTTTTTAATCTTCAGAACTGTAAATGTTCTCCGCAAATAAATGTTTGTTTGGCCAATCAAACTTGAGCATTTAAAAGTTTGTCTCATATTAAATGCTCAAGCCGTCGAGGACCATCAGATAAGGATGAAGTACTGCAAAACATTTCGCAAAAAAAGGGACAAAAACTTAACAAAAATTACTGGCAGATAGCATCCCTTGTTCAGCCAGTCTCATATACACACCAGCAGCAGGTGCACATCTGCTGACAGCTGCTTTACTGTGCCTCTGGCTCAGATGGAGGAAACAGTAAGAAATCCAGAGAAAAATGACAAAAAACAAACAAATGATAAGCAAATCTATAATCAAAATAGGGGTCAGGAGCAGCCCCATGCATTAATAAACAGTGTGACAAAATAAATTACAATATTTCTATTGGACATCCAAGAAAACATTTCAAATATAATTCAAAATGCACAATGTCATCCCATCTAATTATATAGACACCTTCTTGTTTAATTTATTTAGGAGCTGGTTACTCATTTGTTACAGAACTGAATGAACTGTGCACAATATAAAGCTGCAGTTCATATAACCTACTGCATCGCCCTCTCCAACCTACTTCTGTCATTTACTGAAATCAGATTATGAACAATTATACAAAATAAATAAATAAGATCCTTCCATATGTGTACAGTCTTCCGGAGATTATCATTATGAATCAATTTTGCTGGTGTAATCCTATTAAAACTAATATTGCTTCTGCAAGATAATCTCTGTTAAAAGGTCAAGTGACACTTAAACAAAAAATTTAAATTATGAATCATGATCTTTTAAAAACTTTTTGACACAATTAATTCAAAGCTTCTTTTGTAACCCCTACAGATAATCTTACTAAGTGCTGTTCAATAATCCTCATCAGCGCAATCTCAGTTAATTGAATGAGAAGTGCTAATTTCAGAGCAAGAGGTGGAGCAATGTTAATTAAAGAATTCAACTTGCTGCCCTCTTCTTCTAAAGCTGCTGACTCTTTGTTTGGTTGTAGTACTGAAACTAACAGCCACCTTCCAAAATATAGCTTTAGTGTTAATTCTTCAAATTACACCCAGACAGTGAATGTCAGCAGCTTACTGTTGAAGGTATCACAGCAAAACTTAATCCTATCCTCAACTGATATCCACACAATTTTGACAGATTACTGAATAATGAACAGGTGCAGATCAGATATCTCATGAAGGCTCCAGTTATTTCACAAGCCCACTGATAAAACTACATCACTGAAAATATATTTGCCCACTAAGCTGTTGAGGGTGTTGAGTAATAGTTAACTTTTTAAGGAACATCTTAAAACATTTAACATATTATAAATCAGTCAATGAACCAGCAACCTTATAAATGATCAGGTAATATCTTTTTTTCTCATGGTGATTGAGGGAGAAATGTTGATCTAGGTACAAAGAGGATTTTCTGCTTTTTGAAATGTGCAAAGGGATTGGGAGAATTGTTACGATTGTCATGTAGTGCAATATTCCTTACTGTATTCAAAATAGTAGATCAATAATTTCACCACACAATGAACAAATTCATTCTTCCTTGAGGATTTTTATTAGTTTATCTGAACATGGGGAGTAGTGCTGAAACCTTCGTCAAATTTAATTGTGTCTCTGACAGTGCAGCACTCCATCAGGACTGCACATGATAGTTAGCACAGATTTTCTTGTTCACATCGAGGATTCAGGCTTGAATGCTCAAACTTCGATTCAGAATCAAGAACGTTATCAACTGAGTCAATATTTTAAAGTATCTATCTGCTATTCTGAACATAAGAGAATTGGTATCTTTTTGTGTTAAGGATGCAGAAATCATCAGAATTGCTTGTGTGGTGTTGTTTAGGAACAGACAGCATAGTTAGTCCATTGATCCAGCTCTTCCTTACTATTTCTCATGGTTTTAATTTTCTAAATCCAAATTCCCAGCACCTTCTCCATAGATATTTCCAATGCACTTATTCCAAAGCATGCAGGCATTTTTCTGGGCAATGTTATTACTTTGCATTTATAGAAGCTGACATTCCTTCAGGCCCGTTTGGGATTGAAATAGGATCTATGTGCAGAATTTATATGACTTAAATTTGGGCTTTTGATCTTAATGTTAATTAGACAAGCATCTTGCACTTCCTTTAACGTTTACCTTTTACCTACTTCAAGAAACTCAATGACGAGAGGAGGTATTACATTGAAAATGTGAAAGAACCCCTTGTAAGCAGTTGATAAGCTGATGCTTAGACAACAGTGATCACTGAAAAATCCATGTGCCTCAGTTTTAGCTGGCTTGTACCATATTGATCTAGACCGATACTTAGCGGATCATAGCATCTGCCTTTCATGCATTGTAATTCAGTTCTAAAAATGTGTTTCAAAACTCACCAAACAAAGCAAGCAAAGACTGGAGAGCAAAGTGCATGGTTTTTCTGTTTGCCTGTTTGCCCGTCTTCAACACCACTTCCTCTTGCCCCACCTCACACAGATCAAAACCTAAAACAACAGTTTGTAAAAAGAAATATTAGCATCAGCAGGTCTAGCCGTTTTTCTCTCTCTTACCTCTTTGGATTCCATTTGCTCCACAACCTCACATTCTTTTTTTCTGATGGCACGAACAAGTGACCTGCTCCGCACATCCTGCCCGTGCTGCCTATAATCAGGGGGTCAATGCAATCATCAGGGATGAGCTTATTGGCTTGTCATTTGTGACACTATACTGTTAGTGTACACAACAAAAAAGGTCTACCAGCTGAAAGAACTTTTAATTCCTTTATTAGCACACGCATGGGAATGTGTCAAGACGAATTTGGTCCTAGTCAGGACTTGAGATCCTTAAAACAAAAATACTGTAGATGCTGGAAATCTGAAACAAACACTGAAAACGCTTAGAAACTCAGCAGGTCTGGCGGCATCATGTGCTGAAAAAGTCACACAGGACTCCAAACATTAACTCTGTTTCTCTCTCTGTCCACAGATGCTGCCAAACCTGTTGTGTTTCTCCAGCATTTTCTCTCTGCACGAGGTTTTTAGTTCACTGTATTTTCTTCAAGTGAGCTTTCAGGTCTCTACTCAATGAAGACTGAAACCAGTGTACTTTATTTTTATTTAATTTTCCACCAATATAATAGTGGCATAGTGCAGGTGGCAGGTAACTTGCAGGACATCACATGACTATAATCAATGAGTTTAAGAAAAAGATAATTTACAGTTATCTACTTTTTTTTTAAGTACTTATCTAACCTTTTATTGAAAAATGTGCAAATTTCTTTTACTTTGCTGAAAAATTTGCTGACAAATATATTAACTTTGACAATTTCAATACCGTACTCCTGCAAGTATCCTTGTGGATTGCAACAACCTTTGAAACAGTACTTCTTTAGGAACACTTACCATTCCTTGCTTATTTGAGGAAAACGGGAGAAAGAAATTTGTTTTGCATCGAGGTTTTTGTTGATCAAATTTTGTCTATTTGATATTTGTCAACATAACAGCTGATAAGTTTCAATTAAATTTAGCTGTTAATTACTTCTTGGGTCAACAATTTAATTAAAGTAAGGAATAGAAGAACTTAATGAAATCTAATAATTACTGCTTGATATGTACCAGTCTGTTGGGTTTCACACCACAATTATTGGAATTACACAGCTATCAAAGAAAGGAATGGAAATATGAAATAAAACCCAAAACAACCGCGGATGTGGTAAAGCAGAAACAAAAACAGAAGTTGCTGGAAAAGCTCAGCAGGTCTGGTACCATCTGTAAAGAGAAATCAGAGTTAATGCTTTGGATCAGTGACCCTTCCTCAGAACCTGGAAACAGGAAGCTGCCCATATATATCCTGATTAAAATGGAAAACATTGAAAGAGCTATTCTCAAATTTAGATTGACTGGATGAGCAGGGAGTCCAGTCAAGGCATAAGTTCACAAAAAGCATAGGACATAGTGAAATCAGCTGAATCAGGGGTTACTACAATCATCAGGCATGAGCTTGTTGGCTTGTCACTAGTGACACTATACTGTTAGTGTACACAAAAAAAATGTCCACCAGCTGAAAGAACTTTTAATTCCTTTATTAGCACACGCATGGGAATGTGTCAAGACAAATTTGGTCCTAGTCAGGACTTGAGATCCTTAAAACCAAGTGATAGGGTTTAAAACACAGTAATGGCACATCAAGGACTCAGACAGAAAACAGTCAAGTTGTTCAGCGCTGAATCACAAGCCACACTGTTCCAGCCTATTTTAACTATTGATGCTGACAGAACTGACACACCACAAAATTAACTGTCATGAAAATTATTACTGAGTATTACTTTATATGATAGCTTGATCAATATTTATCTTTCTCCTTTATCATAAAGAAAAGTTCAAGTTATGCACTTCAGATAAATCCCACAGGTTACCGCCTTAACTTTTGGCAAAAAAAAACTTCAGTCTTTTTCTGATGGTTGCACCCAATATTTACAACTTTTACTGAAACGAACACTATGCCATTTCCTTTTGCTATCCTGGAAACTTCAAAGTGATAACCTTGGCCAATATTTACCTGAACAAAAAGAAACAAAGGAATATTGATTTAAAAAAAAGACAACCTCATCGATGCAGCTAATCACGACCTGGATGATAAACTGATTTATGACGACAGCGTATTATATCATTTAAACGATCAATTTATTATTCTCCTGGTAAGGAAGTGCTTAAATTGATCTGTCTGTTTAAAGTCAGAAAGTCTAACTGTGAGTAATGGAATAGTAAATGGTTGGTGCAAATATTTCTACTTGGAACCAAGAGATTCAACATAGTTACATATCTGTCTGAAGCAACATTTGGACTTATTAAGCCAAGTGGTGTCGATAATGAACCTGCAGCGTCAGTGTCCAATGTAAAGTTCAGCTGGTGAGAAACAGAGTGAAATTCCCATCTAGTGTGCTGGAAAACTGTATCGCAGAGCCAGCCTCGGAACACCATGCCCTGTGGCATTGTTCCACTAACTGTTCTATGCCTCCCTCAATGAAACTGGAGGTATACTGGTGGCTCATTAGTGTGATGATGATATGGCTTTAAGAGTTGTGTTTTGTCCTGGTTTCTTTTAGAGAGAGATTGGGGGACAGGTACTGAGAAGTCCATGAGAAGAGAAACAACTTGAAAAGTCTTGGGTGATTTTTTTTTAAATGCTGAAACAATAGGAGCAGCCTGAATGGGTGTGGTCAATACCCACCCACAGAACCAGGGATTTTTACTTTCAGTTTCCAGCTGCAGTTGGGATTTTGAAGAGCTGGAAGCATTTTTTTTGTCCCTCTCTCAGTTACAGCCAAAAGCTGGGTGTTCTCTACCTGCTACGGGAGCGTTTATACCATGTTACTATATTGAAACAGTTACTGTTTAGTAGTAAAATAATCTATTATTCTGTTAAGTTTTCCAATAGAGTTAAGTTGTTCCACGTTTCTCTTTCTTGTGCTGTATTTTAACAATAGTGTTTGAATAAATTGTGTTTTGCTTAATGTCGTGTAGGTTGATCAATCATATTACATCTGGAACTCAGCACCTGACATTTACCTTTAAAATAAGGAAACGGTAGGGTCAAGGCTACCTTCTTAATATATTTTGAGGGGGTCTGGTCTGGTCCATAATATTCAGTTCTGAGTTTCTGCCCAAACTTCTTTTTGTCAGACTGCTATTGGACAGAGAACTTCATTTCATCTTTCTGACCCGAGTTTGAATTCAAGTTCTACAAGTGCAAGCTGACTGCACAATCCATTACATAACCCACCCCCTCAGTATGCAGCCTTCCACCTAATCTGTTTCTCTCTGCTAATGTGTCCTCAAACAAATGTAAACCAATCATTTTATTGAATAGATTTCTTCAAAGGTTTGTTGTGCAACACTTGTTTTTGTGATGTATCTGCAATGATTGTTTAGTAGTCAGCTATCTTTTTATTTGTATTGTTATTTATTCTAGATGTTAAGAGAGAAAACAGGAAAATTTCTATTGGCTGTGGAAGGCATCTTATGTAATAAGGGGAACAGGGCTAGCAGAAAATGATCCTATTGGGACCCACTGGACTAATTATTCAAAATAATGCATCTTACTCATCTCTGTCTTGGAACATTAAAACTTAATCATAATTGTTCCTACTCAGACTACTTTTAAGCTGTTTAATTGATGGATTATTGCACACAATTCGGAACACAAAGGGAAAGAAAAATCAGCTTTCCCAGGACTCCCTGTCCAATTGTAATCCACATCAAGATCTAAGGGCACCTCAACTTTAAGATATAGCAATCTACACTGTGTGTTAAAAAAACACCATTGCATGTGGGCTCAGTGAAGTCTGTGTCAGTAACAGAGGACCCACAGTACAAAGGGCGAATGCATGGGTTCTATGTGGTGCTGCCCAGAGTAGCAGAAGACAGAACAATAACTAATCCTGTGTGGACATCATAATCTTCAACCATCTCCAAAACAGATGCTCCTCTGACTAGCTCCACAACTCAGCAAAGTAAAAGATTATTGATTTGGATTAAAACATGAATTCTACTCTTGGTACACCTAAGGTAAGTTACGTCACGGGCTGAATCTTAATTTGTTTGGCTAAGAGCAAATTGCATTAGGTATTTTGCCAATGGTCTAGAACATATCTTATGAAATTCACCTCATTAACTACCTTTTCCGCCTCTAAGGTGTTCATCAAGTCCAATTCCAGCCCATCTTCCCATGCTCCATTCCCAGAACAACTCACCACTAAGTGGATATCTGCCAAAAAACCAGCATCCCTCACATCCACACCATTTCAAAAAAGGTGCTGTGTACCCAGACAAGCACTAGCATTCCAAAGCTGCCCTGCTCGATCAAGGTCCTTTCCAGAAGATGTCAAAGAGGAGGACGATGGAACCGCAATTCTCAGACGGGGACCTCGAGGTCCTGATCAAGAGGATGGTGCAAAGGTGAGGAGTCTTGTTTCAGAAGGACTGGCAGAGGAGGCCATGCCACTAGATCCTGGCAGCCTGGTCTGACATTGCCACTTTAGTCAGCGCCATCCCCACAGTCCAGAGGAACAGCCAGAGGTAATATAAGGTGGTCACTGCGTTCACTGTGCCAGGGTAAAAATTGTCACATTCTTCTATCTGCTCCTGCATCCACCTCTCACCAAGGCCCTGCCACACACACTCTATTTTCCAAAACATCTTTCCTCATTCATGCATACCCTCCCCACCAAACCTCCTACTCCACTAACCCTGCTTGGCCTCTGTGCTGCGTACTCAGTCACTCGGGACACCTCACCACCTTTCGTCAACCTGCACCATGACTAACAGCTGTGCTACCCACTTTTATCTCACTCAATTCATCGCTCTCTCTCTCTCTCTCATTACAAGAGAAGACAGCTCACAATTTGGCAGGTGGAGCATCTATGTTTGGAGAGATGTCAAACGTCAGACTCCTTAGCTCCTATGAGGACAGACTCCTGCCCTTTACAGAAGAAAACCAGGACCGCTCCTGTGGGAATGCCAAAGCATCCATGCCCTGTCAACTTCATTTCATTGTAACTCTCACAGTAAGCCCATTCATTCTCATTCAGTCTCATTCATTGCACACCTCTTCTAACCACAAGCTGTGTGGTCTTCTCTCTCTTGTCTTACAGGTAGCACCGCCAACTCCACCAGCTCCTCTATGAAACAAACAGATCTCGCCAAAGCCACCCCCACAGTCTCTGCGGATGAGAGTACTGAAGCCTCAGGGGAAGCATCAGCAAAGCAGTCTCCTGCATCCCACACCAGCTCAGATACTGACACCTCATTGGGAACGTTAGGTGTAGACAGTGTGGGAGCATGATGCAAGGAGCATCTCACTATAACAACTCCATAGTTTGCGGAGGAAGAAATGTCCAGACTGCTGGAGGATTACCGGTGACCAGATACCTGTTCAGCCCCTGGTTGGACAGGACCCTGTGGTGCTGCGATCAGAAGCTTCATCCACATCCTTAGGGAGTGACAAGAACAGCAGTCAGGTCTGTGGGACACAATGGCCCTCATTGCCCAGAAGCTGCATCCTAGCAGGGAATTTTGCAACTGTCTGCCCACCTCCACGGATAGATTGGCAGCTGCCATAGACAGCAACAGAGGCACACACACTGGCACTCCACTGTTCTGGCTATTAGACCTCAGGACCGAAGGCATAGTGACAAGGGGATGGGGAACCTGGTGTGCATGCCATGTGCACTCACAAGGAGGGAGGACAGTTCAAGAAAGCACTCCCCCCCACCCCATTCAAGGAAGCAAACAGACACATTACCCTCAAAAGTCTCCACTCAGCACACTCCAGAGGTGTCCATGACTTCACCCACCCCAACTACATGCCCTCCTCCAACCCTTGGTCATTCACACCAAGGAGTGTAAGCTTGCAAGTGGCAAGAGACCCTCAGCACGTCTTACCCATCCAAACACCAAGTACCCCCAGGCCCACCTGGGCAACTCCCCAGGACCAACAGTCTACCATGCTGAGCAGGCTCCCTGCAGAACCAGGAAATACACACAGACGTAGTGGTTGGATAAATAAAGAAGGAAACTTGTTGAGGCCACTTTGATGACACTATATATGCACTATACAGTATTTGAATGTAACTGCACCAGTGCGATGTCTGTGCTGAGAGCCTGCTGCAGCCATTTTCTTCCCCATTCCTCACTTTCAACTTCCAGCACGATGGAAGGTGACGGAGAACACTTCTCAGTCAATGGCTTCCAGCCTCTATCTCTGTGTATCAGTAAGGCCAAAAACATCCAGATCTCAATACTGATAGCCCTTCCCATAAATCCCATAGGCTTTGCACCTCTCTAGGTCCCCATCCAAAATCTCTACATGATCTGTACCAGATCCCCACCCCCACCAACCTCCATTTCATCAAAACCACGATGTTTGAGGATACCATGCCTGCGGTGGTCATACACTGTGCAGCCTCCCTTGAAGACAAGGTGCTCCTCACCCTGGGCAAAAACCCCTCCTACAGCACGCCTTTCCTAAGCATGCTTTACCATACCCCACTTGCAAAAACTATTGCCCACCCCCCAAACCCCTTCACATTTGTCATCTCCACACCACCTCAGCCCTCAGTCTCAAAGAATAACTTGCTGATTCTCCCACAGGCCCCTCATCCACCCCCAAGCCCTTTTCTATCTTTAATTTCTCTGGACAGAGCCGACTGATTCACCATGGCCCACCCACTTCAGTAACCAAACCAGACAGATCCCTGAGCCATACCTGTACATAGCCCTGACCTTGAGAGCTGTATCTCACAGACTGGGCACTATGGAGCTACAGGGCTGACCATGACCCACTCCCTGAACAACAGAGGTGACGCAGCCCCTCACCAAGATCACCCTGACAGGATGCTTAACACCATGGTCAGTCCCCTTTGCTAGGACAGAAGGCTGCTCTTGACTAACTGGGCCAGTACCCCCTGATTGAAGGGTGCTTCTGTGGATTTTGCTGAGGACAACTACCCTAAGACTTGGAGACATAGCTGACTGTTTGTTGCATTGGCTGCTGGCACATGATGGAGTGAGACAGACATAGCACAGAGCCATACAAAACACCTTGGATAAGGTTTGCTGATCAGCAAGGCAAGCCATCTAATTGTGTGTGACTCCATGCATTGACACAGCAAGACAAGGTTGGCATGAACGTGCAGGTTGGCACTAAGAGAGCAAGTGAAAAGCCCAGAGATGCAGCCTGGTCCAGTCTGTGAGCTGGGTGGCTGCCCCTGCAACAGCCTTTCAGTGTTGTTGCTGGTGTACCCTGCAATGCAAATCTGCGCTTCCTGAATGGCCTGCAAGTGGATTGGAACAGTGCCATGATAGTTGTGAAGGGTTAGCAAATGCTGGATGTCCAAGTCCGTGGATGAGGGGTATGTGCATGGCCGGAGCCCTTGTACTGTGCCCTGAAAAGCTGGTTAGTCCTTCGCAACTTGGAGTAACAAGCAGTATTCCCCTCTCAATTGGCAATTTGTTGCTGGCAAGTGACAAAGTTATCAGATCCCATAAATGTGTGAGATGTTCCTGATGTCAGGATGGGCACCCCTTGCTAGGCTCCTTTATGGTTCTGTCACAAATCTCACCATAGCCCATGGTGCTCAGATCCCCTATAAGATTCCCCTAATTGAGAATGAAACTACCAAGAAAGAGGAATCAGAGAACAAAATGGAAATTTATGAGGATTGAATTTAAAATAAATATTGTAAACAACTTCCTGATTAAGGGATGATAAATATATATTGTGTCAGACATGAGCAGATCCAAAAACAATGTGGATCTTAAAAATGCTGGCAGATGCTATAAGGAGAGCTTCAGTGTACTACAGGTGTCTTAAGTACTTTTATGGTCTTATGACTTGCATTTTTCACCAGTACAATATCACATAACACAGTACCATCTACTGAGAATGCAGTCAACAAGACGAGTGTATTATGCGTGTGAGTGTTTGTGCGTGCATGCATGTGTGCATGTGCGCATACATGTACACGTGCATACATGGGCTTGTCTGCATAGGGGGTGTGTGTGCGCGCGTGTGTGTGCGTGCGTGTGTGCACGTGCATGTGTGCGCGTGCATGTGTGTCTGTCCACGTAAATGCATTTGTGTGTGGTATGTGTATGCGCAAACATACATGTGTGTTATGTCCACATCTGTGTGTTCATACGTATGATTTTTGTGTGCGTATGCAGAAGGGAAGGAGGTGGAAGAACAGAGGAGAAATGGAGGACAGATGTCATGCCTTGAAGTTGTGGAATTCAGTATTGAGTCCTTGAAGCTGTGAGGGGCCTAAGTGGAAAATGAGGTGTTTTTCTCCAGCTTGCGTTGTATTTCATTGGATCACCGTAGCAGGCCCAGGTCAAAAACATTAGCCTTGGAGCAAGGTTGTTCATTGAAATGGCCAGCTGCTGGAAAGTTAGGGACATTCCTACGGAACAAGACTTCAGACCACAGCCACATAGTTGACTCTTAACTACCCTCTGGGCAACTAGGGATGGGCAATAAGTGATGCCCACATCCCACAAACAAATATTAAAAATAAAATCTGGGTCCTGCCAACTGCCCTATCTAAAGGTCCAAGGAGTTTTCCTAACCCCAGGAAAATCCGTCCCTTGGTCTCTGAGACATAAAACATATTATCCTCAAACAATTCACATTGTTTTAATTGCTCTACTAAGAGCAGTAAATGAAACCAAGATTGCCAATTGAAGACAATATCCTATCATAACGATATCAAACATGAAAGATGTAATTTTTCATCTTTAAAACATTAAACTTTCATTCATAAATTGTTGTTACGAGCTACGCAATGCTGAAACCAAAGGGAGCAAGATATAATTTGTTCTAATTTAGATTCAGGAGTCCATCCTGCAAACCTTACGGTTAACCAGCCTTAATTGTGTCACTGATAAGAGGAAAATCTGCCAGTGAAGAAAAGTGAGGAATGACATGAGCAATTTCCTGTACTGTCAGGGGTGATGCGGGATCTGATAAGTTTATTTAGAAATGATCTATTCAAATAACTTCCTTGTGAATTTGTATTTTCTGCAGAACTGATATTTCAATACAATGCATTCTAAAGCACAGCAAATTAAACAGTATAAATGCACTGCTCCCAGGAAGGCAACTGCATGGAAGATAACTTTTTCAAAGTCACTTTAACATAATGGTTCTAATAATTTAGAACAGAGGAGTAATCAACCAGGCCTGACTGCTAGTCAGTCGCTCATTTAAAAGGCAATTTTGAAATAGTAAAAGAATTTTCAACTTTCCCATCTTTCTCTGAATTAAAGAGGCAGTGAGTGTCATTTTGATGTCTATTTAAAGCAATTAATTTCATTTTCTTTTTAAAAAGGAAAAATTTATTAAAGTATTTCATTTTAAACTCCAGGCTCATGTGACATGGCTCTATCATTAGAGTAAGTACTGTTGTCATTTCAGGAATGAAAATGTTTTTAGAAGTTACTCACTGCATGGCAAGATGGATTAAATTAATCTATCTTCCCTTCTAAAATTTCTCCTTTCCTATTCTGAACATGTGGCAGAATGTGTTGGCAGACTGCTATACCATGGGGTGCATTAAAGCCAAATCCATTATTGTCTTTAACCACGTTGCTTGAAAACTGATTCTCCCCGCTCCCGAATTCAAGGAGCAGTGAATGACCAGTATCCCAACAGCTGCCCTGGTTGAGATCAGTGAAATCATTATATGTTTGAACCTTGAACCTAAGGGATCTGTACAGGACAGTATCACGTGAGGCCAGAGTTTACCAATTGAAAAAGTGATGATTAAAGAAAATTAACAATTGTCTAAATTAGGATTAAACTTGATCTAAAGAGCTTCAAGGTCACAAAAGGCATAGGACAGCAGGCGGTCAGAGAAAAAAGCTGAGAATTTTGACGAAATATGTAAGGCCAATTTCCATAAAATGGTTTACTACCAAGGAATCTTTTCCATGAAATGCATCATACCTAATGCTGCCAGGAACTCATGACATCCTGGCAGTCGCCAGAGCTGCACACTTATAGACACCTGAATAGGAGCTGAAGAAAAATCCTGTTCTTTCTCTCCGGTCTGAAGCTGAACAAGTACTTGATGAAGCTGTACAAAATAAAGAGAAAAAAATTATAAAAATATTATTCCAGAGAAAATTACACAAGAAATGGGAAGGTTGAAGTGGATTTTGCGCTAAATGGAAACAAACATGAGGTACTGGAGCAGGAGAGAAATCTTGGTGTTTTAGAGGACAACAAAATTTCAGCAAAATATTCAGCACACTATTCCTGGGCTATTAATAAAGCAAACAGAATGCTGAAATGTATAGAAGGGGCCTTAACTTTTAAATCCAGAGGTCATCTCAAAACTCTTTTAGTCACAAACGGAGACCATTTCTGGAGCATTGTAAGCAGTTTTTGTTTCTAAGGGGCGGAATCTTCACACTAGGGGGAAGCCTAGATGTCGGGGAGTTTTTCAGTGGTTATGAGCACTGGGTGGGAAGCTGGACTTAATGCAATGCTAGGACAAGACAGTCAAAGAGCAGGCTAACTGAGGAAAGTGGCAGAGGGTGAGCCTTCCATGTTGTTGGTTCAAACAAAGAACTGGCAGCACTACCCAGAGACAGGGGCTCACTACTGAAGTAGCAAAAGAAATGCAAAGATGCCTCTATTTTGGGTTGACCTCTCAGGGGGTCAATCATTTCCTACACTGGGACTTTTCCCTCTTGAAAAGAGAAAACAGAGAGAAGCGTTCAACATTTATGAAAAGTCTCGGCAAACTGAATTCAAGGAAGCATTTCTGCTCTTGATAGAACCTAAACACAAAGGATTGTATTCATGAATTGTGAACAACATATAAAGGAGAAACATTTTAAAAACATTAATGGGTTGGCAAATATGTGACACGGTGGTGAAAAAAGAAATCTTAAGTTTAATGAAGGAAATAACAAGGTTAAAGACAACAAACAGGATTTAGGGTAGCTAGAAATACAAGAAGGGAACAAAGTGGATAGATGGATGTATGATCTTATTAACTGTGACTATTGCTGCAGTGGAGATTTTGAAGCTTCCTGCTTGATGGAAAGTGAATAGTTTCTTCTCAAGAGTGGTAGTGTATGAATTATCGCATTTCTAACCTGGTGTGCTCACATGAGTCAAGCTATGGTCCTCTTTAAGTGAAAATTTATATTTAAAACTTAAGTGGGGCACTCCTAACTCACATTTGTACTGTCATTTTTAGGCAAGATGCTCATCATAGAGAGGTGAGGGACTCAGATCTCCATTTAAATCAGGATCTTATGACACAAGTACAACCTGATACCATTTGACTAGTAATTGAAAAAGCGACACCTCATGTCTGGCCCACTAGCAAATCTCAGAACCATTGACAATATGGATGAAGGAGAACTCAGCTAGATTTCAGCGGATTACGAGGTCTTTCCAGTTGTCCAGGAGCATGTTCAGGTTCCGGATGACCAGTTTGCTTCCTTTGTGAAATTATCACACCAGGAAATGTTCAGTGTTTGCCATGAGTTCCTTTTGAATGGAGAAATAAGTAGAAGGAGAGGAGCACCAGCAACCAGCACTCCGTCACCTACATCAGCTCTGCAAATTAGAAGACAGCAGGTGAGGAGGGTTGCTCGCAGGAGGCCCAAACCAGCACTCAGCTTGCATAAGCCAGGAAGTCTTTGTATAATTTCTAAGGAGACTGCTTTCTATAGGCAGACTATCAAAGAGGCAAAAGTCCAGGAAGTAACGGAATACTCCCCACTTGCCTGGATGTGTGCAATCCCAACAACACTCAAGAATCTTGACACCAACGCAGTCTGCTTGATTGGCACCACATCCACAAGCACTGACTCCCTCTACCACCAACGCTCAGTAGCAGCAGTGTGTACTATCTATAAGACGCACTGCTGAAATTCAACAAGGCTCCTTAGACAGCACCTTCCAAACCCGCAACCACTTCCATCTAGAAGGACAAGGGCAGCAGATACTTGGGAACATCACCACCTGCAAGTTCCCCTCCAAGCCACTCACCATCCCGACTTGGAAATATATTGTTGTTTCTTCACTATGACTCGGTCAAAATCCTGGAATTCCCTCCTTAAGGACACTGTGGGTCAACCTATCGTATGTGAACTGCAGTGTTCAAGAAGGTAGCTCACCACCACCTTCTTAAGGGCAATTAAGGATGGGCAATCAATGTTGGCTCAGCCAATGGTGCCCACTTCTGAGTGAATTGAAAACATAGACTCCCATAGCAGGACCTATTTCCCACGGCACTGGGAAATATTCTTTGCCAAGTCATTGCCAGGATAATCACAGACTCTGACACTTTTCCATTGGTCCTTTAAGCCTGTCACAAGAGATTTCAGCAGATCAGTCAGGTCACAGAACAAGGCATGGCATTCTCATCCAGTTCACTAGGGCCAAGCAGTACATCAACTCACTACTGATTTTATCAAAAATAGATGCAATAATAAGACTCAGCTATTGGCTCCAACAGAACTATATGTGTGCAATTAGGGTTAGGGCTTAGAGCTTAAGGCTAAGGGCTAAGGGCTAGGGTGTAGGGTTTAGGGTTATGGCATAGGGCATGGGCTTCGGGTTAGGGTTAGGGTTTAGCGCTATGGCTAGGGCATGGGTTTGAGGCTAGGGCTTGGCTTTAAGGCTAGGGCAAGCATTTAGGGCCAGGGCTAGGGTTTAGAGCTAGGCTTAGGGTTTAGAGCTGTGCTTAGGGTCTCAGGCCCGGGCTCGGGTTTAGGGCTAGGGCTAGGGCTAGGATTTAGAGCTAGAGATAGAGCAAGGGTTTAGGTCTAGGGCTTGGGTTCAGCGTTAGGGATAGGGCTAGGGCTAGGATTTAGGGCTAAGGATAGGGCTAGGGCCCAGGTTGGGATTTAGGGCTCGGGCTTGGGGCTAGGGCTAGGTGCTATGGCTTAGGTATACTGTTAGGGCTAGGATTTAGGGGCAGGGCTCAGTCTAGGGTTTCGGGCTAGGGCGTGGGTTTAACGTTAGGGTGCGATGGTGACAGAAACATTTTCTTTTCCCATTTCCAGTTGAAATATCACAGCAAAATTACCATTTCCTTCCCCCATTCTATTGAATCAACATTATTTGAAGTTTTGGTGAATTTACTTCCAAACTAAATAATAACTTCTATTGGAGGAGTTTTTAAAAAAAAGTAGGTAAAATTGGACAAAGTTGGCAGCCTCGCATTTGTTTCTGCTACTGAACACGCCAGATATTCAACTCTATTGAAGTCAATAGAATGGAACAATGTGAGCAATGGGTGACTAATGTGTTTCACCTTTTTTCTGTTTCTACCCATATTGAATTCCTCACTGCTTGGAATGAGGGTTGATGGTTAAATATGATCTTGCCAATTGACTTTTGATCTACTTATGCTGTTACACTCCTCACACTGAAAGGGTTTTGCATTTGTCATGGTTTAAATCTAGCATTAAATTTCTTTTCTTGCCAAACTCTCCGAAAGTTGAGTACGTGCCCTCTGTAATTGCTCCGTGTCACATAACAGAACACGGTCCTAATGTCCTTGATTGTATCACAGTCAGAAGTACATGCAGGTTTGGGTGACTGCACATGCGGCCAGGCAGTCAGAGATTTGGTGAAAATAGAGCATCAGATGGTGAAGCACAGAAGATATTTATGACATGGCATTGTTTAATATCACCTTTCTCAGAAACTATTACCTTTATAAATTATAACAATAAAGGGTTCTGACACAGTTCTGCTCCTAGCTGTCGTTACTATGTTAGGAATATATAGAATGCACTGATTACATTTATTAGCAAATACAAATGCCAAACAAGACCTTGCATTCATTATTTTGATGTGATTTCAATCAGACTTTTTATTGTGTTCAGTCAATATCTCAATTATCCAATGAAAACAGCTACTAAGTACATCCAAAGTTAAGGGTAAAAGATTTCATGGCGGTATGGTGGGGAGGAAGGCTGGTGTGGAGATGGAACTATATATTTTGAGATAATGGGTGTTAAGATTGTAAGATATAGGAACAGGAGTAAGCCATTTGGCCCCTTGAGCCTGCTCTGCCATTCTATAGGATCACAGGTGATCCAACACACTCTTGTTCACTTCCCTGCCCTTTCCCGGTAATCTTTGATTCCCCTATCATTTACTCTTGACCATTAATCCTATGGGATCTTTTCTGCCACTGGAACGTGTCGCCCAATTTTTGGACAATGTCTTCTCCAAAAGAGAAGGCCTCTGCCATTTTAGCATTGCTACTGTGGAAAAGGCTGAGCAAGGACTCCAAAATCAACAGAAAGTACTGCACATGTTCAGGCTGAAAATGACCTTCAACAGTCAATTGTACCTTGGACAACCATCAGGAGTGCATAGTAATTTCCTGATTTTAAAAACTGCAAGCAGCTCCATTGATTTTAGAGGACAAACACACATATTATGGCTGGTGGTCCAGTTCCTGATTTTTTTTAGGAGTTCAGTCTGGGAGCAGTTTAGGGTTTTGTAGTTCACATCTGAGCCTATGATCTAGGATAGGAAAATCAAGTGGGATTTCTGCTTCTAATCATTATCCAATGAGTTTTGTTCGAACTGCTATGTGCCAAATACTGTATATCTGATTGGGGTCATCTATGATAGCCTTAATAGTCTATAAAGGTTCATTATTTAAACTCAGACAAAGCATTCTAACTTGGGAATAGTATGCATGGAACTACACTCCAACAAAGGAGTTAATGCCTTCCTTCAGCAATAGAGGAGGTGAAACAGCTGGAAGGAAGTAGTAAAAAAAAATTGATTTCATTATTTTCAGCTGTTGTATAGAGAAAGATATAATTGTTCCAGTACTTCAGAGGATATAGAGGATTAATGTAAATGCTGATGAGAAACAGTCACGTTCATTACAGCTGAACAAAATTGTATGGAAGACAGACTTCCCAGCTTGAAAATATATGCACTCTACAAACAGAATGGAACACAAATATAGCAGGGCTGGAGTTCAAGGAAAATAAATAATTCCTTGGTCTCAATCAGAAAGGATCGCATAAATAAAATCTTCATCTGCAAAGGCAAGGGAAGCGTCACTCGTGATTAGTAACA